TCACACACACAAACACACACACACACACACACACACGCACACACACACGCACACACACACACACACACACACACCCACACACACACACACACACACACACGCACAGGCGGGTGGTTGGCGGGTGCTCTAGTGTACTTTGCTCCTTCTTTCCTATCAAACATCTGTCGTCCTTACCTCTCCCCCTCTGTTTTGTGTATGTTACTCTTTAAAGTCTCTTGTGACACCTCTTTAATCTATTCTTCGGCACTTATATGACGTTATTGTGTTGCAAGTGCTGCAAAACTCTTACTAAAACAAAACTAAAACACACACTCTCTCTCATACACACACACGCGCACACACACACACACACACACACACACACACACACACACACACACACGTGGGTAGGGAGAAAGAAAGAGAGTGTGAGAGGGAAAGAGAGAGAGAGACGCAGAGAGAGAGAGAGAGAGAGAGAGAGAGAGAGAGAGAGAGAGAGGGGGGGAGAGAGAGAGAGAAGAGAGTATATGTGTGTGTGTAGACTGCCCAAGCACTACTTCCCTCCCTTCAGATTTTGACATCCTCGATATGGTCCAAAAGAGAGACATTGACATGGCCAACCTGTTTGGAATCAATGAAAGCGTAATGGGCGTCTTACTATTTAAATTTTTCTAGGGTGATAGTTGAATGAAATGTAACAATATCTCTAACAAATGGATCCTCGTCAGTCTAGTGTCTTAAGTGTACGTAAACCTGCCCGCTAGACTGTCAGACCCGATCCCATCACCCAGTAAGTGTTAAGTGTTTGGGTTTAACGCCCCTATCAACACTCTCATGTTATTTAAGAGGCGGGACCTCAGAATTTAACGCACATCTCCGACAGGATTGAACCGAATGGATTGAAAGCTTTAAACTCCCCATAAAACATTTCGAGTTCAAGAACTCAAGTTGTTTGGGACTCAAACCAGGACCATCCGCTCCATAGTCCAGCTTTGTACCAGCTAAACCAACAGTGCCCCTCATCACTCAGAAGCAACAAGTTATACTAGATCTAGATCTAGTGTTCATTCCCTTTTTAGGCTCTGCGCACACGAGCCCTCGTCCATGACTGTAATTATGCAAATGAGGCATTTTTGCCTGTTTGTGTCTCTATACTTCGAAGCCGTGTGACGAGAGGAAATTATTGTTCAAGTGCGCGCGGGGCGTCAAACAAATCTAGCTTGCGACTTTCTTGCTGTTTATCTATGGCTGGATTAATCTCCACTATTTACTACCTCAAACATTTACTGTCAGTGAGAGTTTTCAAAGAAGGAGAATTTATTAGCCGTTTTTCCAGATCCATAGCCAGTCCGGCCATGGCTGTGTGTTTGTCCTGGTGGTATATGTCGAGGGAAGAACAAACAACAACGGGGACACAAGAAATGAGGAAGGCTTTGTCAGTAAATTTGTACGGCCGCTGATACCCTCCAATCTCCTCCAATACCCAACCACTTGAGTTCCGACAGTTAGAAGGGATTTGATATAATCGGACCCTAAAGTAAATATACGCGTATGTACATAGTCACTAGTGAGACTCTTTAGTGTAGAAGTAATGTGCTTGCTTCTCAAGCCAAAGTATTTGGTTCGATCCTGAAATAATGCCAACATGGTAAGTACAATGAACAGTCAGTCAGACCTGCTCCGACGTCCACCTGTATAAGACAATCACTATTATAAACGGTCACTTAGCAACCGCATCCCCCCCCCCTTGCGTTTATGACACCGTGTAAAGCGTCCATCTAAGACAATCGCTTTTGTGCTCGTTTACTAGTGGCCATTTTTGGTCAATTTTTACTGTACTTAGAGTTAGGGATATAGATCTATTTTTCTCAGAGTAGCTCTACGCCATGTCCTAGGGAAGGTGGGATCGAGCACCTAGTAGTGCTGTAACACGACAAAACACTTGGACTTGCTGTGTGATCTTCCTAGACTTGTACAATAACCGACAAGGTTTTGATAGTACGAGTTCATGGCACTTTTTTAGAGTAGGTATTTTTACAACCCTATCGACCTAGTTAAGATCGTTAAAGGTGTAGGCTTCAGACCCAGCCTGTCAGGGCCAACCCGGGCTGAGAGGAGTACAACATGCCAGCAGAAATACCAAGATGGTGGGTTTTAAACAAATTACCCCCACTCAGGAATCGAACCCGGGCCTCCTGAGTGGTTACTTGTGTTGTGCTACGACAAAAGACTAGTGTACTATCTGTGTGCTGTTCATAGACTTGTGACATATAAAATACATGTACATGGTTTTGATAGTACAAGTCTTTGACACATATTGAGCTCATCAAAAACGCATTGAACTTTGGAATTTCTGCTTGAGTCTCCAGTGGGGAAGCGTTCGAAAGTAATCACTAATTACCAAAACACGATGAAATTAGTTCAGTGTTAATCAATTAATGAGTACCAGTGCTTTAGAAACCACTAAATTATTTCTTGACTGAGAGGAGGGACCGGCGCCCGTGATGTAGCAGTTAGGCTCTTCTTTTTCGCACTCAGAAGATGTGAGTGAGTTTGATTCCAATTCCTTGTATTGGGGAGAAGAGTCCCAATTCCTTGTATTGGGGAGAAGAGTCATTATTAAGTGTCTCTGTCTTTCTGCTGAGACGTTGTGTCCCTTACAGCCCGGGTTGGACTTTACAATACAGGCAGGGTCGAGGGGGGGGGGTGTTGAAGCATCCCACCTCCTGAACGATGTAAGTCGTGTCGACAGGGTGCTAAAAAAAACGATAGGGGGTAAAATTACAATTACCATAATTACAATACATGTACATGTACATGAAAGTCGAGGGGCACACTATTTAGTATATTGGCCCGCGTATAAATCAGTTACGCTGTTGGTTTAGAGGATCTGGATCTGCAGTCGAAATCTCGTAAAGATAAGAGACGGAAAAATAATGAAGACGTGTGAGACTGTAGTGAAATTGTGGGAATGTGTGTACTCTTACAACAGCGATAACACCAGGGCCCCCTGTGGGGTTACCCCCCTCTCTCCCTCTCGTTCTCTCTCTCTCTCTCTCTCTCTCTCTCTCTCTCTCTCTCTCTCTCTCTCTCTCTCTCACTCACACACACACACACACAGGAAGTTTTTCACTCTTTTTAATTTTCTTTTCGGGGACCAGAGAGCTCTTTCTTCTCTGTATATAGCTTTCTTGGCGGCCAGGTACTGTGTCGAATTAGATACATTATTCTATTTTCAAATGTGGGTTCGTTTTTGTTCAAATTCAACATTGCGATACTTATACTATAGTATAGTACATGGTTCAGGAATGAGTTTCGTGATAAAAATCCATATCTAATTTATTACTTGTGGGAAGTGGAGGGGGGATTTCACAAATCAAGAACTCTGTGTTAAAATCCTAGTAAATAGTTTAGTCATAGTTTTACGACACTCGCAACTACATAAGGTCATATTATGAGCTCGCGAAATACACGAGTTGGTTGCCCTCACGACAGTTCTTAGCACGGCTCCATTTTGGCCTAGGGCCAGATTTTTAAAAATTTAATTCATGGTAAAATTCCCAATCTAAAAATGACAATTTACATAATAATATTAAAATAATCGTATTTACAATTTAGTGAAAAGGCAGATGGCCTTTATAAAATCAAGAATTCTGTTGTGATCAACAACGGAGAACAGATCTTGTAATTTTGTACATTTAAAATACTTCCTTCAGGTCTCTCCAAATTCTGGACATTCTGCTAAGATGTGTCTCATACTAATAGTGAAATCTGTGAAGCATCCGACGCAGAACGGTTTCTCATCTCTCTGCAGAAGGTATTTGTGTGTCAGGGAGGCGTGTCCGATACGCAATCGAGTAAAAAATGACTTCGTCCTTTTTAGAGCGGCCCGATGGTTTTTGTGGGCCCAGGTTGGGCATGACGTTATGGAGTTTATTGTTGAGTTGTTTACTCCAATGTGTCTCCCACAGTCAGTCTGTAGGAGAGTGTTCTTCGTTGATTTCATCCTAGTAAATGAAGGCGTGCAAAATATTGATATTCGAAAAAGAAAATTACAATTTTGATGTTATGTTTCAGATAAACAAAGAAATGAATGGAGTCGAACGGTGTCGAGCAACAAGGCGTTCCAATATGGCTGAATGATACCCAGCAATGGATATCTGGACTAACAAAGCGCACAACATGTGATGACGTCATTTACGCAATATTGCACAGTTTCCAGGATCTTGATACTGATTTTGCAGACCGATATGCCATTGTTGAAATATGGCGAGGGGTTGAGAGGCCTTTGTCGGTGAGTACACAAGACTATACATACTTTGTATTGTGTTTTCGTTCATGCATCTATAGTTTGAACTTCAGGAGTGGGTGGTTGGAGTTGGAGGCGCCACTGGTTGGTCCTACTGCTTTTCTTTCCTTCTGTTGTTTATGTCTGTCTATCTTGCTTTCTTCTTACTATAAATGACCGTTATGGTGTCTATGTACTTGCACATACTCTTGAACTCGAGCTCAAAGTCGAAACCCGAGACCGAGAGGAATGAAGTCCCTCCATCATGAAGAGTAACTACCCCTACAGCTGGGGTGTTTGTCATACACAACAGTCCCTCACATACATGTACTTTCTTAATCTTCTGAGTATCTTTTATTTGTGCCAATCGGACCTGGTGCACAGTACAGAGTCCTCTCTTTAGATTACTTTTTGGTGCCGGTTTGCACCCCCCCCCCTCAAAAACACAAAAAACTACAACAACTACAGCAACAACAACAACAACAACAACAACAATATCAACAAAACGTAGTTAGCATTAATGAATTTAGATAAATAATTATCTGCAATTTGCTGTTTTGAATTGAACTCCTACTAACTTCCTGCTATACACATGTGGGTTATTTAATGGACGTTTTAATGACCCTGTGTTTATGGTAAAGCAGAAGGAAGAAAGGTGGAAAGGATAGAAAAAATTAAGGAAAGAAGATCCTCATGTGTTTTTCAGACCCTCAGAAAAGTAACAGCCCTGCTGAAGAGCTAAAGGTCTACCCATAACGGCTAAGCCACTGCTGGGTGATATTGACTGTACAGAATTTTTTTTTATATATCATTGATACAAAAACACCGTGCTCCATTTTTGTTCGTCAGAATTAGCAACAAAAACATATCTGCACTTTTGTTGAATGAAAATGGACGTCTTTAGATTTGTTCTTCCAAAACTACAAAGCTACTTTCCTTTAACTTCCAGGGAAGAACTAAAATCCTCAAAGTCTGGAACTTCTGGGGTGAGGAACAGGCAAATGTACAACTGAGCATGCGCAGCTTGGATGACTACTTCCTCCCGAGTGAATGCAGTCTGCGCATGCGTAATGGTCAGATACACCGGAAGGGGACTAGAAGACGGTCCCGCCATAGTGCCCAATGCAGGTGTGTGTTTGCTTTTTGGATGTTGGTGTGGAGAGAGTGTCAGCAATCGATATGCGTTTGTGTGTGAGTGAGAAAGGAGATGGGGATGCGAGAGAAAGAGAAAGAGTGAAAGAGATGGGGCCATATGAAAGAGGTGAAAAGTGGAGGGACAGAGAGAAAGAGGGGGTATGGGAGTGTGAGAGAGGGAGGGAGAGAGAGTAAGAGAGAGAGACACAAAGAGAGAGAGAGAGAGAGAGAGAGAGAGAGAGAGAGAGAGAGAGAGAGAGACAGATGGGGAGGAGGTGCTTAGTAGTTTAAACTGAGAAAGAGAAAATACGTGGAAACAGACTGCGGCAAAGACAGACAAACTTTTAGACATGATGTAGTCATTGACAGGAACAGAAAAAAGACGGAGGGAATGCGTCGAATGAGAGAGTAATTTGTGAATATTTCTCTGTGTTTATTTGGGTCCTTGATTTTTGTGAGTCTATGCATGAGTTTACAAATGTGTTTAAAGCATCCTTTAACCGAAATGCACACTTTTTTTCAATTTATCTTGCGTGATCTCTAAGCCCCTACTCGCTTTACAATTCTCTCTGATTAACCGGGGGTTTTTTTTAATCTAAGTTTTCAACATATTTTTATGGGAACTACACAGCATAGCTGACACATTTCGGCAAGATGAAATTATTTGCCCCGTCATTTGTAGGTCAGCCTCTTTACGGTTCTGTGAAAAACAAAGATATGAGTTTGATTTCCAGTCGGGCAAGTCAATGCTACGTCATGTAGTTCAGACTGTTATCTGGGGCCTGAGGAAGGGTGCTGTGTCCTACTCTTCCTGGCAGGGTTGAAGCAACCTGTCTTCTGAATGATACGAGGGCTGTCCCATGGAAAACCGGAATTTGGCTTTAATTTGAAAACTATTCAATATTTTCACATTCTGTAAACGCACACTTGTAAAACAATCATATTGAAATTTCCCGATTGAACACCATGAGCATCGCACAAACCAAACGAACACAGCAGTTCTCCATAGATGGCTACCCACTTGGAAAATTGGTCAAGGATAGAAGTGAGATCTGTCATTCGGTTTCTGACCGCAAAAGGTCTCAAACCTATAGAAATACACGCTGAAATAAAGTCATTTTATTGGGAGAAAGTAATGGCAAAGTCACAGGTATATGAGTGGAGTAGTAAGTTCAAAGCCGGGCATACGAATATCAATGACAAAGTTCACCCGGGACCTTGTTCTTCTGCCAAGACTGAGGACAACAAGAGTCGCGTTAACGAACTAATTCAAACAGACAGGCGCCTAAAAATCCTCGAGATTTCCGAGTCGCTAAACATTTCAAAGTCAACTGTCCATAGGATAGTGTTTGATGAGCTGCACTATCGAAAGGTCTCTGCTCGATGGGTCCCAAAAGAGCTGACTGCTGACCACAAGACGCGTCGTGTTGAAGTGTCTCAGACTTTGTTGAATCGTTGTCGCCAAGCTGTCACGGGAGTCTTGAACGCATCTTTAGACCTCCAACAATACGATGAAGCATTTCTGAGAAGCATTATTACAGGTGATGAGACTTGGATACACTACATGACCCCTGAGACGAAGAGGGATTCAATGGTTTGGAAGCACACGTCTTCACCTCCCCCGAAAAAGTTTAGAGTTCATCCATCGGTGAAGAAACTCATGGCCACGGTTTTCTGGGATGCTAAGAGTGTTCTGCTTCTTGACATTCTGGAACCAGGACAAACTGTCAATGCTAACAGATACTGCCAGACTCTTGATAAGTTAAGAGAGGTTGTGCGCCGAAAAAGACCTGGTCGGTTGTCCAGCGGGGTCATTTTGCAGCATGACAACGCAACGCCACACACGGCAAACGCAACGAAAGACTGGATCCAAAGGTTCGGCTGGGAAGTTCTGCCACACCCACCTCACAGTCCTGACTTGGCCCCGTCAGATTATCACCTTTTTGGACCAATGAAACGCCATATTTCTGGACAGCGATTCACCGACGACTAAGACCTCGTGGAAGCCGTGAAAGATTGGTTGAAATCCCTTAACAACAAATATTCTTCAGGGACGGTATCTTCTCCCTGATCCAGTGATGGAAAAAATGCGTCCAGCGGAATGGTGATTACATTGAAAAATAAAGCACACGCTGAGGTATGATGTGTTACAGTTTTATTATAATAGGACACAGATTGTTGCTTTTATGGACCTTTTCCGGTTTTCCGTGGGACAGCCCTCGTATAAGTTGAATATTTTGCAGTAAGTTGTAGTTAGAATAAGGGGCTGTTCAAATATAACCGTACACCTTTTTGGGATCCCCCCCCCCCCTTTTACACTTTTCTTACATCCCCCCCCCCCCTTCCCAATCCCGTAGTATTACATTGTTCGCTCATTATAATAATAATATGACATGTATATCGCGCCAATCCGTGTTACAATCATTGTTCTATGCGCTTTGCATAATATACATAAAAAATATGCTCACACACACATACAAGCACACAGTAATATGCAGTTTTACATTCACATAACAAAAATAACAGTAAATCATTCAAGCAAAATATGACATACACTCTTTCTTACTAATAAGGGGGGAAAGTCAACACACTGGGTCTGCAGGGGCAATAATAATAATAATATAGTGTAAAGCGCACAGAGCCTGTAGTCAAGCGTGGATATGCCCTATGTATATGTCATTTATTGTTATTATTATTATTATTATTATTATTACTGTTGTTATTATTATTATTATATTATTATTATTATTATTATTATTACTGTTATTATTATTATTATTATTATTATTATTATTATTAATATTATTATTATTATTTATCCTCCAGGTGTCAGAAAAAGCAGTCATGTTCCCGGTGTTCCCGCATTCGCCACTTGGAGAAACTGGTCAAGAGAGTGGTCAGTCAGGAGAGGAAGCTACAGGACTTACAAGAGCGAATCTCGGACATGGACGATCTCATCGACAGACACGAGCATTGGGTCAGTAACACGGTTAATACCTCGAGGCTGTTGTGCTTTGCAAGTTGTCTGGGTACGACAGCAAGTTGGCACATTTCATTCCCAAAATATTATTAAAATTAATAGAATGCCTTACCGTGACAACGGAAACGTTTATGTTTGTACCCTGTGCCCTTTGACGAAATTGTTCACCTTTGATCCATATAGCGTGTCTTAATAAAAGTACCCATTGGCAGGATCGGAACTGGTTGAATACCGTCGGGTCGGATCGCGCTTAGCCGGGTCGATTAATAAACGACAGTTTCAATGTACACTATGAATAGCCCCCTGCCTTGCTTCATCGATTTTGACCCGGATGTGAAGCAGAGAAACCTTTGACCTCTTGCAACCGAGAAACTTGGTGCAGATGTCATATTCAGCGTTGTGATAGACATGATTACTGCGTTCACAACTAGCTATTTCCATCAAAAATTGATTATCGATAAGAGTAGGCTTCGGCCGCCACCCGGGCAAAATTCAAAATTTCCTACCAACTGAAAAGGTTTGGTGTGTCCCGCGCGCTCCTATGACCTTATGCAGTTGCGAGCGCCGTAGAACACTGATTTACAAAATACTGTGGAGTCTTAATATAGCCACACGTTGACTGTATTAACCAGTCAGAACGATAGTCTTGCGATTAACTGAAGCTCACTCTCGACTACAGTTGGCATCTCTACTCTTGTTGACTGCACGCGGAACCTTTTCTTACTTTCAGTTTATTGGCTTAAATTGAGTCAGTTGTTGCGCTACATACTGACCAGCTTCTGTGGTGTAGTGATTAAATGCTTCGCTGCCGCACGCAAGAGACCCGAATGCGATTCCCGGGTGGGGAGAACATTTTTATCGATTACTTCAATCTATCTGCTGTGATGTACCCCTCTCAGCCCGGGTTGGCCCTGGCAGGCAGGGTCGGAACCCCGCCTTCTAAACTATCTGAATTGTGTCGATGTAGGTGTACAAACACACACATAAAAGATTTAAACGGCCGCGGTTAGCACTTCTACTACTATAGTCGAGAGCGTGATGCGCCTTTAAGCTGACATTCCATATGCCCGAAAAACCGATGCGAACTTCGGGTACGAAATTCGCGTGCGATGAAAAAGGAGCCCTCCTTCCATATACCCGAAATCCATATCCATCATCTAACTGAAATCACGGCGCCAGTTCAGTCAGAGCTAGCACTCTACGTTGAAAGCTAGAGCATTTTGCTGTTAGAACTCCTGTTCCTACGAAAGCAGGCTTTAAATTGCTTTGTTCCAGACTTGATGATGGCCTTCCCTTCATAAGCTTTGCTTTCTTGGGTCGTTTTCTTTTCGAAGCTTCGGTCCTATCACCGACAGCGCTGGCTGATGTGGCTGGACAGCAATATTAAGTTATAATTAATGCATGTTAGAAGTTATATTCAAGTGTATTTAACGGGGGGTGGGGGTGGTAAGTGAAATGCTATTTTTTGTTATTACATGATTTAAACGATAAATGATAGCATAGATATATCTAGATCTAGATTACATAGACTCCCGAAAGTTTCCCACAAGCTTAAAAAAAGTGGTTGCCAAGGAAATGGCAGCCACCTTGAAAATAAACACTTCTTTTCAGTCTTAGTTTTAACACTTCTCTCTCGAACCAAGGAAATCAACATATCAACGTTTTCCCCACTTACCTAGTGCTTCTATCATGTTCTATGCTGCTTCGTTCCTTTGAAGTAGATTTGGCGGGAAATAAGCCCCGCCCACTTCACGAAGAATTCGGGGGCCGAAGAAAAAAGTTTCGCAACCTCGTGCGGAACAAAATCTTCGCATGCGAATTTCGGACTCGGCCGTGCGAAATTCCAGTAGATCTATATGGATTTACTCAATGACAAAAAGGTTGGTGCCAAAAAAATAGTTCGCACGTGAAATTCGCACCCGAAATTCGCATCGGTTTTTCGGGCATATGGAATGTCCGCTTTTCTCCCTTGCCTTTCATTTTGCTCAAACTGAGTCAACTGATGCCCTCCATGATGAACCGGAAGTGCGTCAGAGGGCACATTTTGGATACCATATTATGCAGTCAAAACACAATATCTCTAACCAGTGAAATAGGATTTGAAATCGCAGTATCATTCCCCTCTATATTTAGCCTCAGTGTAAAATGAGGCGGTTTCGTTGTAGACAGGGTCAGTGTCGTTTTTTTTTATGTCAGTGTCTTTACGCCCCAATCTACACAATTTAGATCACCTAGGAGGCGGGCTTCCGACCCTGCCTGTGACGCCGATCCGGGCTGAAAGGAATATAACATCCAAGCAGAAAGGCCGAGATACTCGATATAAAAAAATGTGTCCCTACCCGAGAATGGAACTCGAGTCTCCTCTGTATGACGCACCCATAGAGATGGCTATGAAAAAGGAAGTTTTAGTGTCCTATAGGCCGTGTAAGCGATTAAACATTTTACCCCGAAAAGTTTATTCACAAATATTTATGTGACCAAAATGTGTCCTCAGCTATGCGTTCAGTTTACTGAAGAGTGTTTCCCAATATTTGTCTTTGGGGCTCGGCAAAAGAGTTTGAATTTCAACACTTGAAAACCCTGTGGTTGTGCAGCCATTTTGAACTCAACACTTGACCTTCAACTTGGCTAGAATGTTTTGTAATTAATGCCTTGGAATGTATGCTGTAAACGTCTCTCTCTCTCTCTCTCTCTCTCTCTCTCTCTCTCTCTCTCTCTCTCTCTCCCTCAACTTTACCGCTGACCAAACAGTATGATCGGTGCCTTGGTACCATGGTATCAGTTAAAATCTCTCAATAAGCCTCTGTCCCCAGATGTGCTGCACCAATTTATGTATTGGCCGAGCCATATGTTGTAATGCGCGGATGTATGGCCCAAAGGCCTTTGTAAACTATAAAATCATCCTGAACTCTTGTCCCCAGATCCACGAAAGACGAGTTCTCCAAAACGGCCTTGACTATGTCCAAAGGTCGTATCTCAAAGGTCAAAGCAACAACAACTGTGGCCCAACCAACGCTGAGAATGCTGACGTCACCAAACTGTTCGCTGACGACTTCAAGCTCGTGTTTCTGGACAGCAGCCCAAACGAGATGCCAGAAATCGTGCAAGTCTGTGAGCAGATCTGGCAACTGGACGGCCAGCTGTCCGCTCGCTGGGGGGACATAACTAGTCTGACCACGGAGCTGGAGCAACAGGCTCACGGAAAAGGGCCGGAGCTAGAGGATGATGACGGGACTAGAATGGAAATAGAGAAATGCCGTGTACGTCACAGGGTATCACTGCAAGCGTCTGTTTCTTTTGATAGTACGAACAGATATAAAATATGTGATCGAGAAAGAGCAGGATAATGTAGGGTTTTTGGGAGTATACGAGCAGAGAAAGAAATGGCAAACCAAATCTGTAGAATTACGTGTCTGGCGGATGCTCTGTTGTGGTTTGCTCCTTCTTTCTTTCCTATCAAACATCTGACATGCATATTTCTCCTTCTCTTTGTTTTCTTTTTTCTTTTTTTTTCTTTTGGGGGGGGGGGGTTCTTACTATTTTGTAGCACCTCTAATCTGCGGCACTTATGGGACCTAATTGCGTTGCAAGTTCCGTAAAACTGTTACTCAACGACATCTATTGAAGATCTGGCACTTCACATCGAAGATTATGATTATCAGAGCTAATATTTGCTAACATATTTGCAATCTCATTTTTACAAATTCTTGATGCTGCTCTTGTGATTGCTATCACTGCTGTGGTTTTGTTGCTAGGAGCTGCAATTATTGCTACTGTTTTTCCTCTCTCGTATCTGTTTGTGTTGGTGCTGTAGGTCTAGAAGATAATATACTTCTAGATCGCACACTGTCATGGCCGCCGCTCTTTTCTCTCAATAGAAACTTAACTGCGAAAGGTTCCCATTAGGGGCTGCATTAATGCACCAAACTGAAAGATAATAAACCCCTCTCGATATAGTCGAGTGTGCGCAAAATCCCCCCCCCCACACACACACACACACACACACACACACACCTCTAACTCTAAGCTTGCCCTTCATTTGGCTCAAGTTGAGTCAAATGTAGCACACCATAGTGAACCGAAAATACGACAGAGTGCTTGATCTGGGATACATACAACACTCGTGCATTTGGCTAGAATTTTTACATTATTTCTTTAAACAAGCAAAAATCGTTCCCTTGCATTTTCAAGAGAGCGACTTTTAATTAATGATTCTGAGATTACTAATAAAAATAAAATCGTTCATGTCACCATTGTCCAGTTTTATGCTTAAGCATTGTGACTAAGATTTTTTTTTTTAATGTCATAATTGTCTGCTCCCCCCGACAGACGCAGTTGTTCCGTCTTGTAACGTCACACCTTACCCGAGAGCACCAAGAGCTTGAGCTGGACCGGAAGTTGGCCGTATGCGTGGAGACGCTGCGTACGCAGACATTTGAGCTCGCAGAGTTGAACAGACAGGTAAACAAACAGCATCGGTTCGCAGTGAAAGACGTCTTGGGGCAAATGTAAAGAGATTAAATAAACTTGACATTAACAGATGGCAATTGTTCTGATTATCAATCTTTGATGCTCAAAGTCGAACGACAGGCAATTATTACTAACTAATAGAAATTTATCGAACTTACCAACTGTGCCTTCAGGCATCTTTAACCGGAAGTTGTGTTGAAGCGCCTAGCAGGCTGCTGAAACAGCTCTATGCATTTTTTTCGCCATTTCTCAGGATTATGACTTGTGTTTTCTAGGAATTTAATATCATGTCAAAGCCCTTGATTTGCTAAAGACATCTTAAACATTTTCTGTTCCTACAGGCCTATCCTTCATAAGCTTTTAACGTTATCTTTCATTATAGTTGTTCTGTTCCTATGTCTGGATGAAAATAGTCTGTGTGTGTGTGTGTGTGTGTGTGTGTGTATGTGTGTGTGTGTGTGTGTGTGTGTGTGTGTGTGTGTGTGTGTGTGTGTGTGTGTGTGTGTGTGTGTGTGCTTTAATGTATATCGCATGAGAAGAAAGATAGTAGTAAGAAAGGTTTTTTGAAAAATGGGTATTCAAATGTATAGCGCATTGAGCTACTTTTTTGGAAATGCGCTATATAAATGTTACATATTATTATTTATTTTTTTATTATTATTATTATTATTATTATTATTATTATTATTATTATTATTATTATTATTATTATTATTATTATTTATCTTCAGAAAGAATCTTTACGATGTTTAATAACCTTAAAAACGCAGTAAATGCCGAACAGAAAAATTATAGGCCTATAGATCTAGCCCAAGCACGTATAAAGACAATTTCTCATTTGCTTTGATTACAATTTTGAGACAAACGATTTACTTTTTTTAGACTTTGAAATGTGTTGTTTTGTATGAGTTTAACACTGGACAGGAAAATGATACGCCATTTCGAAGACGCTGGCATACCTTTAATCCATTCATAGAGCTACAATACTGTGATTTTGTTTCGGGGTTGTGGGGGGGGGGGTGTATTATTATTTCTAATATTATTATGATTATTATTACTATTATTATTATTATTATTATTAATATTAATATTATTATTTTGGATGAGTGAAACATCTAAATTGAGTCAAATAGGTATTTCGAAGCCAGATCAAATTCAATTTTATGGAAAGATAAGGCTGTTAAAAAGACTTCCCAAGATTAAAGTTAAAGAGAATCACGTACACTTAAAATGACCCAGAATCCTAACAATGAGAAACCAAATGCAATCTTTCATACTGTCTACATTTCATTCCCTCTTTTCTCTCTCTCGCCCAAGCTGGAATCGGTGGATTCCTCAGATACAGCTGTGCCTGGTCACCTCCGCTCTGAGTTTGACGTCTGCTCTCCTGGGTTTACGTCGTCTGCAACCTCATCCCCTGTCACTCCCACACAAACATATTCAAGTTCATCTCCTGATACCTACACTTCTCACAAGAATCCGCCAGTGATTCCCAAGAGTCATTACAACGCCTACCATCACCCAGATAGGTACCGGGGTCTACCCCAGCAGATACAGCAGCCTGCCGGTCCGCACACGCGTGTTTTTGACCACGGAATCTCAGATGCAAGTAACCAAAGTCACAGTACACACTCGGCGCTTGCGTCTCGTCAAGTTTTAAATCCTGCGATTGAAGATCAAAATACTGTCGATTTTGGAGAGAACAGCAATCAAACTTCTGTTCCATTCAAATCCATACATAATTCGAATAGCAGCTACAATATGGACCAAACATACGGCCGAAATGTAGGTTCTCGTAACGTGAATAAAAATTATCCTCCTTGCAAAAGTGAACATCAGGTATCTCCATCTAGAGATACTTCATATGGTTCAAATGGTCAATCCAGAACACAGAAGAGTGTTTTGTCAGTGATCGATTCGCCTGTTACTCAAAACGACTTTTACACGGTTAGTCACAGAAAAGATCAGGACAGTTCAAAAACAAAATCGAATACTTCGTCGGATGCTTCGAAACAAACTAGCAATGTCATGATACATAATCCTCATTCTCACATAAATGCCAACGATAGGGAAATGAATGAAACATTCCCTGAATATTCACGTCAAAATACTCGAGCAGTTGACTCTCCACACTACCAAAGGAACGTGTTGGGTTATGACAACAAAGAGTCGCCGCGAAATAGTCAAGCAGGCTGTCCTCCTCACCCAGGTCAAACGGTACAAGATTACTCGAAATCAACAAACAGTTTCCAAACATTTCGCACCAGCGACGGTCAAGAATCAAAGGACAGCACTAGACAAGGATCAACAAATAGCCGGTTTCAAATTAACCCAAGTACACGAACGCGCGCAGACGCGGGATCTTTTGTTACTCGCGCAAACACTGACAAGTGGCCAGATTGGACGGACGCTCGAAACTACAACCCCATTCTTTCTAACGGGAACGACAGGCCAGAAATGCGAGGCGGGTCCGGCGCGAAGAGGAAAGCAGACGACGTGTTTGCCCCGACCGCTCGAGTTTCCCCGGATGGAGAATCTGGCAATGACAGTAATGCCAGGGAGGACAATTCCAAGAACAATGGTCTCGATTTCTCAGGGGAGTACAAGCATGCTGGATCAAACGGCCAAAACAGTGACCTTTACGTCAACAAAACTCAAACTGGTAGCAGCAGCTCAAACCCCACTTGCCCTCCACGGAACGTTTACTACAACGGGGGGATCAATTCTCAGCAGATTTTCCCATCACATCACATCACAAATGGCGGCCCGAATACAGGTCGGAAAAATAACCCACCGCCGTTCAGACAGAGCCGAGATGCGAGTTGGCCAATTCAACAGTCCGCTGGTCAAAACAGCTCAAACCAAGGCTACGTCCCAACTCATAATGGCATTTACAAATCCAATCTAGTCACGAGTTCGGCGCATTCCTCTGAAACCAGAGCGAGTCTATTCTCAAAACAATCAAGAACGGTTCGCTTTGCTGATAGGCCAGAAGAGAGCATATCCCAGCATCCAAGAATAAATCCGTATAGACCACCAGACCAAATTCAAACCAAGAAACCTTTTGTGCTTCATGAGCCTGCACAAGTAAGATCAAAAGTGGGTCAGTTTGTGCCATATCCGCCCACTTTTGGAGTCAACAATTCCGGATTTGTTCTTCCAGGTAGTTGGGGGACCGGAGGCGAGCATACTTCTGTGGACACCACCGACTCGGACACCGGCTTGGGCTCCATGCACTCGGATGAGCAAACAGTCACTCTCGTGTGAGAGTAAAACGTCATGGAATGCTAATTGCAAGGGGAGTGCAAAGTTGGTGGTCTAAGGTCATTGTTTTAACTGTCTCTTTCAAACGTCACTGTCTTTGTGAACCGGTGTCTGTAGTGTGGGGGATAGGCGCTTTGCTGTCGCACGCAGAAGACCCGAGTTCGATTCCCGAGGGGGGGAGGAAATTTCCTTCCAGTGTCTCGGTCTTTCTAATGGGTTGATGGTCCCTTTCAGCTCGAGTTGGCCCTGACAGGCAGGGTGGGTGCCCGCCTCCTAAATGATCTAAGTTGTGTCGATGTGGTGGTAAAACACCCTTCATTTGTTTAGTCTTATGACGTAATCTGGAGCAGTTAACGATGATGTTCTTTTTCTAAACATTGATGTTATTACCTCTGAATGTGGTTGCTGATACTGCCGTTTAAACGTCTTTACTATTGTAGTTTATTAGTTATGTTGCACGCTGTTTTCATAGAGAGACAGCTGTACACAGCGTAACACGACAACCTGATTCATATTTTTGTCGCCCCACGTAAAGTACAGGGAGGTCAACAACAAAAACTGTACAACTTCCTTGGTTAATATATTCCTACACACTGAAGTTTTGCGTTTCAAATTTGTACACAGTATTTGGAAGCCAAAAGGAATGTGTCTGATATTCATTTTAGATAAATCCACAGAACAGTTTTGCCTTGCATAGCGCGTAAAAAACAACCCATTTTCAGCTATGTCCCCATTTTTTTGTAGCAAGACGCACTAGTTTTCATTAGGCCTACCACTAAAAACCCCAACTATTGCGCCATATTACAAACTACTGTAGTCTAACAGGCTAACAGAAGTTTGCAGATAGTTTTTCTCAAGTTTCCTTTGCCTGCTGAGATCATGGCTAAGATCAGTAAAGAGCAGAGAGCTTTTTGTATTGAACATTTCTTCGCCACTAACTCATTTCGTAAGTTTTGCACAAGGAACGAAATAATGTTGAAGTGCCCTTAAGACCTTCTTTGATGTCAAGGGTGAAAATGGTCCATCGTTAGGACCAGTAGAGAATCAGAACTAAATAATCCCAGACAAAACAACCACTTCAGGTCAAACACACACCGTTCGCACCGCTTAACGTCACCGGGGTGCAGAATTCAGTAGATGAGCCCTGTTACATGTCTGATCGTAGACGATGTCTGCTGCAATGACTTTCCTACTTCTCAACGTTCCGCATTCTCAAGGCAGAACTTCATCTACGACTGTACCATTATTTTTGCAACAAAAAAGAAAAGAATATTAATCCGCGGACAGGAAAAAGAGGCTAAAACAGCACCTGAACATAGATGGCTGGTGCCACGGTGCCTCTATAAATAAATGATTGATGGTCAGGTCAGGTACCATTTTCCCGTTCGCGAAGTATCAGAGGATAGCAATGTGTTCATGATTCCTCGATCGTCTTGAAAAGCGTGAACATTTCCTCTTTGACATTTGGTTCCTTGGCAAAGCCCATATACTCCTTTCAGATTATATCAACTCCACAAATGCTATTTCGGCAACCTCACCCCCCTCCCTACCTATTGTCTCTAGAAACAGCTCCATACTGTGGTGTACAGTGTATTCAGTGGCCTAGAGTACTCATGGTTGAGTGGATCCTTGTGTTTGGCCTCCACTGAACGTGACGAACGATGCGTTAAAATGTGTCGAGTTCAGAGGAGGACATATAGTCCGTAATTTGTTCTCGGAATTTCATAATTTAAAAAGTATTTATTAACTCTGTAGGAGAAAAAAAATGTTGTTCAAAGGTTACAGGGATGGAAAGATTAGATTTTTAAAATAAAAGGAAAGGAAAAAAATACAAACCAATCATTCCATGACTTTCTTTACAAGATCTTTTAAATTGGTACTTTTGCTTTTATAGGTGGTTCTTATAAAAGCCATTTCCGTTTTCGAAAATAAGTTTATTCTTTGTTAATTTTTTAAATGTCAAACAAATTCCTTTTGAATTAATATTATCTGTTCCAAATTACAGCATTCTAGAACAAATTTTGAGCGAGATATTCTGAAGAAAAAAAGTTGTACAGTTGTTTTGTTTTTTATCACCCTGTACGTTAGTTTTGTGCCATTTGTGTTTTGTTTATTTTGTTCAACTGTTTGTTTTTTCCATGTCATTGTTACTGTTATTGAAGTTTGCTTGAGGGTAGAGGTGAAAATGAGAAACAAGAGGGAGAGAGAGAGAGAGAGAGAGAGAGAGAGAGAGA